GAAAGCGCTTACGGCCGCTACCGGTGTACGTGCGTTAGGCAACGGAGTTTTGAACCTGCGACCTCATATCACAATGCCCATTTCCATCTTTTTTTCTTCTTTCTACCTGTTGTTGTTGTTGTTGTTGTCTGAACTTTTTTTTTTTTTTTTTTTTTCCCCCTTCCGGTTCTCTCTTTGTTTTCTCCTGTGTCGCACCCTGTACACGTACGCAGGGAGTACGAGTATGTACTCCGGAGTACCCGGACGTGCTCAAAAACTTGCGTACGCGTACATTTAATTAAAAAAAAAAAGAAAAAAAAAAGTTCTTTTCTTTGTTTTTGACCCCCCTTGGGCTTCACATAAACAGGATGAGAGGGGAAACAAAAAGAAAAGAAAAAGAAAAAGAAAAAGAAAAAGAAAAAGAAAAAGAAAACAGGAGGAGAGAAGTCACCTTACCGGGTGGGTGAGCGGGAGCAATACACCTTCCAACCTCTTGTGTCAATCGTGTGACTTCCACGACGGTGGAGCCGAATCGCGCAAGCAACGGTTTATCCCGAGTGCTTGAAAACCCCCTCCCATGAATATGCACCTACAACAAGTCCAGAAACACTCGAAAGGACAGAAAAGCAAAGACGGACGTTCACAACACAAAACCGCAAACTTGGGTGGGTGAATTGTACCTTGTACGTGCTAAGAGACGATAAATAAACTGAAATAATAAGCCTAACCAGCCCCTAGCTCAGTTGGTACACTCATGGACTGTTGAAATACCAAACTCCAGCCCGAATACAGATGGAACTTCCTTCTTCGCCCAAATACAACGTACGGTCATTATAGCAGCCGTATTTAGACTGAAAGATACCCCAAATTCAGCTATAATGACCGTACGACGTACGTTGTATTTGTCGGAAGACTGTAGTAGTTGAATGCATTTCTGAATTACATGGGCCCGGTCGGTCCCACGATGATATCTCTCTCGAGGCCATCTGGACCGACATTGGAAGAGGCTACTTTATCTTCAAAACACCCCCAAAAACCAAAAATACGACTAGGTACAGTTATTACGTACCCAAAAAGAGGAAAGAAAGAAGATACCGCAAGGGAGTAGGTAGTACAGGAACACAGGAGAACCTAGTCAGATGAGAGAACTGTACATCGTCGTATTTTCGGGTACAGAGAACCTAGTCAGAATGAGAGAACACGAAAGCTTTTACGCACCCCGCTATCCGCATCACCTCCAAAACTCAGCGCCAGAGCAAAAGGTGACGGCTGTCTGATACCTTGACGCAGAGCCAGCAGGCATAGTCCAGTGAGTGAGGCCCCCCTGACCCTAACATGCCCCTTCTCGACAGATCTCCCCCGCATTGCATTTTTCGAGCATGCCACAACACCATAAACATGACTACCTACAGCTACTCCATAGTACTACAGAAACAAAAAACACAGTACAACAGCATAAAGTATAAGACTATACACTACTATCATAAGTACTATGTAATACATAGTATTAAAGGAACAAAGTACATAGTACAATAACATATTAAAGGAACAAAGTACATAGTACAATAACATAAAGTACATAGATCTACTATGTTATACATAGTATTACGGGAACAAAGTACATAGTACAATAGTATGAAGTATATACTATGTACTGTGTAGTATGTAATTATATATACATATAATTACAGGAACAAAGCACGCAGTACAATAGTATAATATAAAGTATATACTAGAAATGTAGTACATAGTATATGCCAATATGGTGTATATTGTTGGACACTACAAATAGTACATAGCATATACTTAGTATGCTTACATTGGTTAGTATGCTTAGTATAGTATATCGGTACTATACACCCAAAAAAGGAAATATCCACGAGTAGGTGCTACAAGAAGAAAGAAACCACAAAAAACTTGTGTCTTCAGCCAAATACAGGCCACCCTGATCGTGAATGTAATCTATGTATATAAGGTATCTTTCCAACCCGATACGGTCATGATGAGGGTACGCTGATTGGTAGAGCGAACAAGCAAGCACGATCAGAAACTGAGGCACGCACCACGTTACCTCCACTCTCAGGACCGGAGCAAGGCGAGAGCTGTCTGACGAGAGGACCCAGTTGGATTTCTTTAGCAGGAACGGAAGATATTAATGCCCCCTCGCTTAATCCCAAGCTGCTAATCGAAGCCTCCAGCTGTACTAATTCCTGCAATTGGCAGACAAGAGCAGATAAGACAAAAACGACACGTCAAATCAGAGGGCAGATGAGACAAAAACGACACGTCAGATCAGAGGGCAGATAAGGCAAAAACGACACGTCAGATAAGGGGGCAGATAAGATAAAAACGACACGTCAGATCAGAGGGCAGATAAGACAAAAATGACACGTCAGATCAGAGCAGAACGACACGTCAGATCAGAGCAGATAAGACAAAAGAGAGAAGTCA